CATGGCCATCTGTGCACGAATAGCCGTCTCCAAAAGCTGCAATTAAGTGATACATGCACCACTGCGTAAAGGGGGACTAAAACCAGTTGTAAGATCATACTCAAACACGTAAAAAACACACAAAACTTAACATCTCTACATTAGAGATCTCCCAGTTATATGGAGCTACTTTTTTATTAAGATTGACTTCTTGCTCTAGAACATGGTGTTTACATTTGTTTCCTTGTAGGCATTTGATTTAAAAATACTTCTTTTTTTGGTTTAAGGGAGTTCCTGTTAAAAGTTGGTATACTGAATAGAGACTTCTTGACAAATTACCAATGCACAGAAAGAGATAAAAAGGAGCTGTCTGAAGCTCCAGCATCATGATTCAGCTCATGTCAAAGCATGATTGCAATCTATATGCACTAAGTTCTTTCCTTCATCTTCGCTCTCTGCATCTCTCTCGCCTGTAACACTTACAATATGCAAACTCACATGTATCTTTGACAGTCTTTGAGATTTATCTAGCAGATCACTGGAGACAGTGCCTATCTGATAAAAGACTGTCGAGACAAACATACAGCTAACAGCAATAAATACCTCTCTGGGAAGTCAGACAGCAAGAATACTGTTGTGATTCACAACAAAGTAACTTTGAATATCCTGAGGAGCTTTAGAGCAATGTGCTAAAGCAGAAACTCAGCAAGCATCAGGGACTGCTCTGTGACACGGGCGATCAAAAATCAGGTACGATCTTGCAACAGTGCCTGCTCTGTCTCACTGTTTTGTAACACCGCATACGGGGACACAGCAGCTGCCTGTGGCTATCAGAGAGCAGGACATTCTTTGTTGTTATCTGTCACCAGAGCATCATTCACAAAAGAAAAATATTTGGAGCAAGAAGAGACACATCGCTTGCAGCTAACAAGTTAAATCATACTAAATCCATTAGGCAAGATTGTCCCTATGTGGCTCCCAAAGTCAGTTAAGGCTTTGGATTATCTGGGAGATACGTGCTAGCCATGGAAATTAAAATGTCCACGGACAAATGACCTTGTTGTATCAACTCTGTCACATGTTTCGCATGTTTTTTTTTCCTGGATTCTTTACAATTCGTATCTTCTAAATAACATTCCCTGCTTAGAAACCTTGTCCATTCCTCCCCTTCAATACCTGTTAAAACTAAAAAATAACCAAGGCTCTTCATAGAAATGTCTGAAAAAAGCAGCAGTTTGCATGCATTATTTTCATGTTTAAATTATATGGATATGGGCAATTCAAGGCCAGATATTCTAACTTTGATCCAGCTTTAAAAACAGTAAGCCAAATCAAAATTCCTTCCCAGCAGAGAATCCCCAGCTGAGGAAAAGCCACAAACTCTTTATGGCATTCTCATTTATCTTATCCAACATTGCAGGTATAAAAAAAGAGGTATAAAAAGAAGTGTCTTCTTGCCTAGTATATTTTCATTGTTAAACTGTTTCTAGCTTTTCACTGCATGTGCAATTATCCTTTCATATACACAGAAGTCCTGCCCTTTACAGTGTATATCTGCAAGATACTCTTACAAAATAGAAACCCATGGAGGAGGTTAACACGCTACTGTTATATCGTAGTCAGTATAATTTTATCACAATATTTTTATCACAGTAAAATCTCAGTAAATCACTCTTAACTGTTAACAGTAATTCAGATACACCTAGAAGATGCTCCGGCTTCTAGTTCTACTTTGTAAGGACAGCCATGTGGTGTGCCACTAGTTTCTTCATTATTCTTCAACTATATCCAACAAAGTTGCCATTAATATATTACAAAGCATTAAGTAATTAAATATAAACATCTGAGACAAAAGTTAACAAATGTAATGCAATTGCATAAGTATTATTGCAGTAGTATTAGTGATATTCTACTGTCTTTTTCCAATTACATTACAGTTTTAGAGCTCAACTACGGAGACACGCTAAAATGGCATATAGTTTGCACACATTATTTTCTGTAACAAGTACTATGAAATATGTAATTATTACTAATGTCTAAAAGATTTGTAAATCATAGTCCAAACTAAACTGCAAGTGTACCTTATTTAACTAGTTTATCTTTCTGAGGGAGTCAGACCAGAACAAATTATTTTTAGCATTCACAGATGTGATTTTATGAGAGGATTAAAGAGATTATGAAAAAAGCAGCTTCCACATACTTTGATTTGCTGTAGATATTTGTAATGCTATTACAATAAAAATACTTTGCACAGCACTATGTAAGGACATAAAGGCATTTTAAGAACATTAGTGAATTGTAAAAAAAAAAGTTACACTACTATTTTTTTCCAATTACCAGATTAATATAGGCAACAAGAAGAAACACTGTAATCAGGCAAATGAATGAGGGAGTTGGAATGAAACCTCAGATGTCTTAATTTCACGGCTCACACTCACACTGGAGTATTTCAGTTCAAGTCAAGTGAGTCAAACGTAGAATAAGGCTTTAAAATGTTTTAATTACAAAACGATGTCCTGTTTCCAGAGGTCCAGCCAGAGCCAGGACAATGGCATATTTCGGGGAGGGCAAAGGTCCGATCCACGTGGATAATGTGAAGTGCACAGGAAGTGAGAGATCCCTGGCAGACTGCATCAAAGAGGACATCGGGACCCACAACTGCCGCCACAGCGAGGACGCTGGGGTGATCTGTGAGCACCCGGGCAAGAAGGCCCCCACAAACAGCAATAAAGGTGACGTCTGTCAAGGCAACTCGCAGAAGAGCAGATTCTGAAATTCTAACTTCTCAGGGCACAGTTTGTCTTTAGCTGTCAAGTGCTGCTTTTATTTACATCGGAGTAAGTAAGGAAGAGCCCTATTTAAAAACCCTAGGAATACCTCCAGGCTTAGACTTGAAAAGCAGAGCACAACTGTGTAAACTGATTTGTGATCACAGTCAAAAAAAAATCTTAACCAGAACTACTAAGCCTGAGAGAATCCAGCATATTTCCCCAGAGCAAAATCTGAGTTTTAAAAACTGCCATGAAACACAGAATAATTTCAGCCTCCTTGTTTTTTAGTCAAGTCTCATTGTAAATTGGATACTTTTTGTGAGTTTAATTCTGTCTAAGTTCCCCTTTCTCGTTTAGATTCTCTTGCTTCTGTTTGTGGACTGAGGCTACTACATCGTCGACAGAAGCGAATCATTGGTGGGAAAAACTCTTTACGGTAAATATTTGGTAAAGACAAGTCATTTTCAACATAAAGCCTCAGATATGTTTGCCATAAGCCAACTGCCTAATTTATGTATGGATGATGATTATTATTCCCTGCCCAATATGTGATTTTCCTTCAAAAATATGTTTCTCTTATGATATAGTTACGGAACTGGGCTGTTTGCTAAAACTTTGTTCCTAACCTTTAGCGACGTATGTTTATGTACGGTTACCATCTTTGCCCTCATCACATGCTGCTACAATGGGAAGCATAGGCACAAAAAAAGATACCATATAAATGGAAGAAAGAACAGTAGCAATAGCCCAGAAAAAAAGGCACAGAAATTCAGCCAGATAGAGCAAAATAGTATTGCTCCTCTTAAAAAGGAGACAAATAATAACAATAAAGCATTGTATAGAAAAAGCAGATAAAGAATTATTAAAGGAATTATTAAAGGGATGAAATTAGAAGGTCTTCAGTGAAGTCAGAGCAAGAACTTCAATCTCATAATAAACCACCAGGGACACTAGAAGAAGTAAAAAGGTGAGAGAAACTCAATATGGCACCATTTAGAAATAATTCAAAAAACAAACAAACAAAAACCACATGAACAAATTCAGAAAAGGACTACTTACCACAGGAAATCATTAAGACAACTTGATAAGGCTCAGAAAGGAACTGCATACTTGTATGCATACCAGAAAATACGAAGTTGTTTTAATTTCTATGTTTTGGAACGAGATATTAAAACTCATTTTCCCAAATTTGAAAATCTATAACTTGTTTTAGGGTAAGTAAATTTCTCCGTTTTTTTTTAACATTTGACCATGAGAGATGAGATGCTGGACCTCACAGCTCTAGCACTCCAGTTTACCTGCTAGTTTGACAGTAGCCAGAAAGGACTTAAGTCTACCTGCTTGCTTACTCCGGCACATTGCTGTTGCTCAAACATGCATCACATCCCTCTCCCTCCCTCCCTTCTTTCGCCTTTCCCCTAGTATCAAAGGTGATTTGTAAACAACATTTTAAGCTATTCCAGTTGAAAAACTATATGGGCTTTGCATTCGAGGTAACTGACAAACTGTCCAGCTTTCCTGTTTCAGCTCCCCGCAATAACCGTGTGGCGCTCTCTGCAGGGGCGGCTGGCCGTGGCAGGTCGCTCTGCGGCTGAAGTCCGCTCACGGCGATGGAAGGCTCCTGTGCGGGGCCACTCTCATCAGCAGCTGCTGGGTCCTCACCGCTGCCCACTGCTTTAAGAGGTAGCTCAGGCTTCAATAATGAGCCACATTTTCAAGCTATGTCGCTGTTACGGGAATAGGCAAAATAGTCTAGGCTGAGCCCAGCTGAAAATTGTTGCAGAGTTGGATTTTGATTACAAAAAACAAACAAACAACAACAAAAAAAAAAAACAAAAAAACCCTCTTTTTTTTCTTCCTCCCAAAATACACAATACATAAAAAACACTAATAGGCTGAAACTATTCTGGGTTTTCATTTTCACATTACAGAGCCTGCTGTCATCATTCAGCAGATTTATATCCAAAACTTGAGCTTTTCCAAGGAAAGATATAAATACCTCTGACATATTAACGGAGCCTTCTCTTCCAAGAAACCTTCTGCACACGCTAGGCTTTCAGGTTACAGCGAGGACAAGTGAGCATATCCTAAAAGCAGGGACCGTAAGTTATATTCTGATGTTCTTTCTGGCAATAGGCAACGGATGGATATTTTTATCGTATCACTTCAACGACTAGCTGAACTGGTCAACAAAAGCCCATTTTAGGGCAAAGCATTATTAATTATTCGGTTGAGTTTAACAGGATAGTAAATCTGTACTCCGGATGCTCTTCAGACTGAGCAGTTTTGCTTATTCTTTACAAACAAGCTACAGCAACTGCTTTACTCTGTAATTTCCCAGTACACAAAAAAATATGTTTTGGTAGCCATGTAAATAAGATCCTGTCCCCTTTAGCACCTTCAGCAAAGCTAATAATTGTCCAACTGCTAGACTTGTCTAATTTTCTATTATTGATGTCTAATAAACTGTTTCATTCAGCTTCTTTCCATATGTTTAGCAACGCATTTGCAACTTACATTGTCCTTACAAACACAAGTGATCTACTTGGTCTGATTTCTTTCACATTTCTCTATATTAATGTACAATATGGCTTTTCTAAATGTCTTCTCCCATTTTTGCATAAACAGTTATTTTGTTACTGATGATTCTATTTAGTTCTTGTGATAAAAACTAAATGCTTTTTTGTCCATCCTCTTCAGTATTTCTGACACGAGCAGTTCACTTGCATACTTTTCTCAACACCTACATACTGAGGGAGTGTTAGAGGACAAGAGCAGCGTGGCTGTCACACTGATACTACCACACCTGGGCAGCCTTTCAAGGGGCTTTTACAACTACTCCACCTGCTAAGGCCAAAATACTGTTTTCCCCCCACTTAGATTTTAAGATTCACATTTGCTCCTTCCTCAGAGTCCTCTGTGAAAGGCAGCTTAATCAAGTCTAAGAATTTGAACTTTTAGTGAAAGGCACACTTTTTTTTTTTTTAAAAAAAAACCTATCACCAATGTTATTTGTGCTGATTTTGGGCTTGCAATTTATGCAACATAAAACTAATCATGCAACACACAGCCTGTAGATGCGCTCAAGTTTGTTGTAAGCGAGGGAAGGCACCTTTTGCTCTGATCTGTCATTGGACCGACTGGGCTGAACTTCCTAATCATCTCAGAATGATTTTAGGGACCTATCTATAGATCAAGTGCCTTCTTCACATATGTGCTGATTTTGGGCTTGCAATTTATGCAACATAAAACTAATCATGCAACACACAGCCTGTAGATGCGCTCAAGTTTGTTGTAAGCGAGGGAAGGCACCTTTTGCTCTGATCTGTCATTGGACCGACTGGGCTGAACTTCCTAATCATCTCAGAATGATTTTAGGGACCTATCTATAGATCAAGTGCCTTCTTCACATATTTTCCAGACTGACCAAAGAGAATATACCATTTTCGCTATCTGAAAACCAGAGTACTGCTTAAATAAACGTAGGCTCAATTATACTATGGATAAGAATTAAATACAATTTTACACATGACAGTAGGAATTGTTCCCCAGCAGATAGCAGCATTATCTGGATCCTGTTAATTCATCCACAAAGAATTGGATTTTCATGCCAAGTTGTAGCAATATTTGAAGCTATTTTTTTTCCTTTATAACCTGCCCATTGTGTTACCAGGTTTCATGCTAAATCATTCTGACAGTTATAGGGAAATTTTCTTCTTTTGGCTTCTTTAAGCACACCTGTACGCCCACATACACTTCAGCACAGTGCAGGCAAACCTGCTTAGAACTGAGAAGTCTGAGATGTGGGGGCATTAACTAGCTAGCAACATGCCAGAGACCAAAGGAAAAACTGACATTAAAGCTCACGTCTCTTAAGCCTCACAGGAATGGTCAGGTGAACTCAGGTGTGCCAGGCAGGCAAAAAGCATTTATATTTGATGCTAATGACCACATATATTCCTATTCTAATAGGATGATGCTCAAGATGTATATCAAAAAATGCTGAAATAATATCCTTTAGTATATCTAGTGGATTGTTGTGGCATACAGAATTCCATTTTGAATAGATAGATTTTAAATGCAATTAAAATTAACAATTATAAACTATGACTATAGCAAAAATTATTAACCTATTTAGTATTGCCTAACTATTAGTGACAAATTCAAGTACTGTTAAAAAAACATCCAAAGAAATACTTCAATTCTAGAAACTTGGAGAATGCCTCAAGAGTCAGGATTCACAATTCTGTGTTTTTCCAATGTTCTTTTCCTATTCAAGCTCTTGTGGAGATTTTCTAATAAAAATTGAATCAGTCATCAGCTATAAAACTTTTGCACTTTTATAGCCAAAACAGAAAGATACATTATTAATAATGTGACACAATAGTTTTTTTTAAAAAATATTTTTGAGATAAAAATAGTGATCCACAATTTTTTTTTTCTGGGGAAGAAATAAGCAATGTATTTGGTTGAATACTTGGCTTAGGTTTTTTTTTAAATAAATATTTTTGAGATAAAAATAGCGATCCACAATTTTTTTTTCTGGGGAAGAAATAAACAATGTATTTGGTTGAATACTTGGCTTAATTGTAGCATGTGTTCCTAAGCAGCCCTGCCTATGAAGACGGCATGTTAAAGTAACTTTGCTTTACCTGAAACTGCAGAAAAAGATGCGTGGATATGTTTAGGATATGTTTGAATGTCATTTGAATTATTTGAGAAAGCAGTTTTGCTCTGTAAAAAAACTGCTGGCAATGTTATTTACCCGAGCAATAAAAAGGCACTGATCAAATTTGACAGTGTGTGTAGGATGCGAACAGCGTGAGTGAGCCCTCTCTGTTTTAACCTGCATTTCAGGTATGGCAATAACACTCGGAATTACGTCGTGCGAGTTGGAGATTATCACACGCTGGTACCCGAAGAGTATGAGGAGGAAATCGGAGTCCAGCAGATCGTGATGCACGAAGAGTACCGGCCCGAGAGCAGCGACTACGACATCGCGCTGGTGCGGCTGCAGGGCCCGGAGGAGCAGTGTGCCAGATTCAGCACCCACGTCTTACCCGCCTGCCTGCCCTTACGGCGCGAGAGACCACAGAAAACGGCGCCCAAGTGCTACATCACCGGCTGGGGCGACACCGGTAAAGTAAACGCATTTCCCTGATTCCCACCCACTGACCACAGTGCCTGATGCTGCTTGTAGAAAACAAAATAGAAGAAAAAAGAGAAAATAACTGTTTATAACATTTATAACATGCAGGTAATCTTGAAAGGAACTAGAAAATTTGTCTTCTACTACTAAGCACACGTGTTCAGCATATGCTGAAAGCACATAGAAATACTATTGGTTTGGAATACTGTCTCTTGCACAGCTTTTACTTAGTGTTAACATTTCCTAAAACAAGCTAGCTTGGCAACTTTAAATGTCGTGTTACACAGTATACATTACATTTTTTTTCTGTTTTTTAAAAAGGCCTTCTTTCAACTCTATGTTGGAGGAACTATTCCTAAAAGAGCCCGATGATAGGCAAAGTATAACCACAGTAGCATCACACTTTCAAATACGGATAATTCTGAAGTTGAGAGGTATATGTTTATGCCATGTCTGCCCAGTCCCAGCTCGACCTGCCTTCCCACCACTCTCATCCTTCTGTATTACTCATAAGAGCTGGAACAAATTTACTTCCTGGATTATATCATTGGTAAAACATGCCCCACCCTCTCCACCCAAGGACAGCAATCATCCAAACTTTCTCCATATATTAAGAGCAAGGAAAGGTGCTCTAATTGTGGCCCATATATTAAGAGCAAGGAAAGGTGCTCTAATCGTGGCATCAATGAAAATTTCTAAGTTTGCAGTAGCAAGCAGAAAACCAACACACAGAGGAGTAAGAAAGTACTGCAATAAG